GTACATCATTTCACGGATGGGTAGTTTCTATTGTTTTTCATATCAGATGTATAATAATGGTCCTGATCATTAAAATATAACTTATCCAAGCAAATGCACTATTAATAAAACAAATATAGTAATGTCCAAAAACAAGATACAGGGTTCGTAATTCTGAACATCAAAAATTAACAGTGGTTGCAACTTTACATGTGCTTTCTATCTTTTTTGTCATGAAGAGTTGATCATGTGAGCGAAAAGTTATCCCCTGACCAACTTGTTCATAGAAAATACAGCATCAACTGTAGACACATTTTACAAACAAATATACATACTCACCTCTGTATCAATTCTCATACCACAAGCACAGAATATAACTGATTTATTCTGATTCAATGGGTTTCTGTGAAGAAGAAAAAAAATTCAAATGATATGCTCTGATCTCTATGCAATCATAATGCATATATATTAGGAGAAATATTCACTAAGTTTAATTTGAGCGGATTTTGCGGAGACATTCACTGGGTTGTGAAAAAAATTATACCGGTACATTCTATTGGCTGCCACAGCTACAGTGCCTATAAACCAAGGCAACGGAGATGCATTGTCTCTTTACAGGTTGGGATTGTCTTCTTGTGGCAACAAATTGTATAATAATAGTCATATTTTAATAATCCATCATATAATTTGGGGGTTATGTACAATTCTACAAATTTGACTGATATTTCACACTGAAAGTGGTGATATGCATGATATGCAGTGTGTATACTAGTAGTACTGGTATGCAACGTTACAATTTTTATTGCTGAGAATCTCAGACTGGATAACAATTGATGATGCAATGACAATAATTTATGATAATGATGAATAATGATAATTTTGAAAAAATAGCTCTAAAAAAATCATTAGTGGACACCAACAGGCTTAGACACGTTTTGTGAAATTAGCATATGATATTTTTAGCATAAATTAATACATGATGCGTAAGCATAGTTTCACCATAGAAAAAAATCACAATTTCTCTTTTGGTTTGCCATTCAGATTTAGTCATGTAATAAGTTATCCCCTGATATTACTTATTTGTAAAGCTGGTTGATACTTGTGGAGTCAAAGGGTGTATTATCCCATCACCTTCGATTCGTGGATGATACTAATCCATGACGTCACTCGTAGCAACCAGTGATATCAGGTGACAGCCTCATATAATCAACGAAAGAGTGTTTTGTTTCTTGCATGGTGTAAACAACTTCCATCTGCTCATGTTAATGGTAAAGGTTGACTTGACAGTCAGCAATGCCACCTACTTTCTACACACAGGGCATATAAGTTCATCTGTTTCCAGTTTCTCCACAGCAGCACAGAGCGCAGCTTCATCAATCTGTCTGCTTTTCTCATAGTCTTGTATAATTTCTTGTTCTTTGAGAAAAAATTAAAAAGTAATTATCATTATTATACATCTGCCAACGTAACGCCATAGGCTACAACGTGCCATAATTTTGCGGTTTTTTACGAGGTATTTTCATTCTACCATGTTAGGAAATGCGAATTCCAAATATGGAATGCTTATGCACGTAAGCGTTCTATAATAATTAAAACAAACATGGACTCCACACAAATTTCGCTGATTTCGTTCTAAACTTTTTGGATTTCCAGATTCCCATGATGTATCCTTGGAAGAAAAAGATGTATAATAATAAGGTTATTACGAGGATACCTCAAAGTATGCAATCAGACAGTACGCCGTTGCATCGACCTCATATTATTCACTGTTGTACATGTAAGAGTTAAATTAATCTACAAAATAAATTCACTAGTCTTGACCAATAGGCAAACCCGACAGCATTGCTACCTACTCTTACAAAGCGTGTACAATGAGGGATTACAGCCATTCAACTTTTGGGACAATTCATCTCTTGATACTAGCTGGGGAGGTATGTAAATGTGTCGAAATGGACATTGTTGTATCGTTCATTCATCGGAAATGTGCTACAGTGGATAAATTGAGTGTCATTGTCCATGTTTGTCTTAATAGTCCTTTGAAACAACGTGATCGGCCTGGGAGACAGTGAAACTGCAGGTCGAACTTTGCAATTTTTACAAATTGTGAATAGATACACTGTAAGAAATGGTATTGTGTGGAAGTTTGTGTTTTCAACTTGTAAACTTATAACTTGTATGTAAATTGGTGGAATTCAGCGTTGATGTTTTTTTAAATCGCTGACGTGCCGTTTTATTTCTGGTCGGCACCACACTTAACGAAAATAGATCTTCAAAAATAAAATTATGATGCCATATATGAACTAAATAAAAAATGTGTATACTGCTAGTCTAAGTCCCGAGTCCCTGTAAAGCTTGGCGGGTTTTGTGTGTACGGCAACCTGTGAATGGACATGTTGCTGGGAACTAGACAGAAAATGAACCGTTGTCTGGTTGTCATGACATTGACCTTTGCGGACATAGTCAACCAATGGTAAAAGTGGATTCACGCAATCCTGTTGTTACATTGTATCATGGAGGTACTAACGGAATATGATATAACCTCAACGATTTTTTAACGTGACCATATAATATATGTCTAGACACTTTCTCTACAATAATATTTTTAGGAGTCCTTAGGATTTTTTGTTGTAGACTCTCGAAATCTTGTTTTTGTTACAGTTGCTAATATTTAAAACATGTGAAATCTGTGAAGTAACTAGTTTGTCTGTTGAATTTCCAGTTGTGAAATACGTATTTCAACCCTTCACAGCTAAACAAACCCAGTGAGCATGTGTGATGACCGTAGTTTCATAATGCGCATATATAATATGCTCGCGTTAAAAAAATGGGACCAAATGGACGATGTTTTGGCAGTTTTTACATTTATTTTTTAAAATATTTTGTCGTAATTTATCAGACATTTCAATCTTTCCTGACGCCTAAATCAGTCTATTTAAGTTTTTATTCAAGAGCGTGTTTATTGTGACTTGCGTGAATGGGTAAGCTTCGTTTGGACAAAAGACTGTTATCACTGTAAACAATGTTAAATTATTCTTCTAATGCTAAGTTCATCTTTGAAAACAACTACATGTATTTCTTTTATTTAAAAAAAATCATACCATTTTCCCATCAAAATCCAAGCCAAAGAAGCTACTACAACATCGGCAAATCTTCCGCGTTGTGTTCAATACATTAACATATTTAAATGAGCTATGGTGATTTGAACATGTTGGCATCATCCAGCATTTTGATTGGTTAATTAGCGAGTTGACCTATTAGCTCAACTCAATATACGATCGGAATCATTTGCTTACGATGAAACTAAGTTGAATTTTATTTGAATCTCATAACAATTCAACGAATTTATTTTTTTGTGCGTTATTATAATCACTACTGAGTAATAATCAACAAATGCGAAACGCATGACCGGATTGCGCAACTGTGATCGTTTGCTAACGCAATGCAGTTGGTTTTCATTTCTATTTGAAACTTTGTTTAGAATATACTTTTTACCAATAAAATAAAAGCAAATGTATTTGAAAAATGACACTGGGCGACACTGTAATGAAATTTCAGGCGATGTACTTTTTAATTCAGCAAAAATTATTAATTATTGTTAATTCTGCAATAGTTTCTTTCATCTTGAATGGCCCACCATGGAAGGTACTAACTGATGGCATAGGAAGTCTGTGTAGTTAGATACAATGAAAATGGAAGTCCCCACAAAATATTTAATAATTATTTTTTTTTAATTTTGAACCCCAAATAAGCACCCACCAGCCGTGAAATCCACCAGGGCGATTTTTTCGGATGGGCAAATTTAGGCAGAATCCGGTATTATATAAAGAAAGTATTATTATGGACTTCTCGTGCATAATGCCGATGTTTCATACTGTTTGTAGTTTGCATATGAAAGTGGTTGTTGATGCCCCTCTAATTATTCTACGTTGTTGACAATGCCACTCGCACTGTGCACATTTTAGCACTAGATCTAGTGCCAGTAGTGTAGTCACATGGGACCCACAATGAAAATACAACAACTGTATAAGTTTTTCTATTTTCATAGAAAATTTCTAAAATCCAAAAGCAAGGAATTGGTGATTATTTTTCATGAGCTGAAAATATATTTATATTTATATCAATTATTGATAAAACCTTTACCTTCTTTCAACAACTCTACTTTGATTTCTTCCATGACAGAGAAAATCTCTTCAAAGTTATCAGTTCCATCAATAACCTAAAAAATTCAATAAATCAGAATGTACCCAGCACAATAAATGAATAAATTATGTATCAGTTAAACTGGAAATGAACATAGAGTGTTTTATTTTCGGATTGATGCTGACTTCCCATAGTGAAGTTTGTACGAATCTGAATGGCTAATGAGATATTAGAAGCATTGTAGCTAGGCATATATATTCTAGGCTGGTGCAGTTGAAAAGTTACGAGCTCATACATTTTTAATTACAGTACCATACATTGTGTGCGAGAAGGTTGCATCTCACTCAAAGTGTTTACAGCAAATCTCTGAAGTATTGGGGCAGTCAATTTGCAAACTCGCTATCGAATTGGCTAACAGCCGGCTTGTGATCGCGTCCACTCTTGGCGAGTCTATATTGCATTATGGGACATAGAATGTTTTTACGCAACCTGGTACATGTCTGGATTCCCCTGAATGATTCAAGTTTGAGCCCAAAACTGGTCACAGTCAGCTGGCGTACAAGTGATGATATGATAAATACGATTAATCCCCCGATATTTATTATATGAGGGTAATCATCTTGAATACTGCTTGAAACTAAATAGACAAGTTGAGAAACAGTTTCCTACAAATCAGGGAGAAAATAACAAACTTTCACGCTCAAACAATCCGTTGGGGTTACAATTAAACCAACCGCTGGAAAATCGACCTCATTCGTCGTTTTTGTGTGGACACGAAGAGCATAGAACACTTTCCCTGGTATATTTGAAAGCGAAATCGCCATCCAACTATAAGACCATTCGCTGATTAGCTCCTAAAGTATGAGGATCGTCTCCTACTGTTGCATAGATTTGTCTTAAGTGACGTGACCGCAAGACGACGCCAGCGAGATTCGAAAGCCAATCGTTTAGTCAAAACCAAAGCAGTTAGCCAATTCGCTAGCGAGTTTGCAAATTGGCTGCCCCTATACTTCTGAGACTTGCTGTAAAGAGTCATCATAATTAACCCTTTCAACACCAGTTCCCTCTTTTCAACACAAATTCACAAAATAGTCCTGTTTATAGACTTCACTTTCTTTTAGAAGATTGGAACAAAAATAGCCAAATTTTTTTGAGTAAAAACTGAAAATTGACTCAAATTTTGTCCGTTTGCTAAAAAATCAAGGTTCATTTTGTGAAATATTGAATACAAGAGAAACGTGCAAAAAAAATTTGGGCGAGAAACTCTGGTGGTGAAAAGGTTAAGGTATAATGGGTAGTACGTAGGTGAAAGTTTTGCATGAGAGTGTCTTACGTCTGGTACGCTGGAGTCTTCTTTCAAAGTTGGTAAATATCCATGTTCTCCTCTCAGGATTTTCCACTCTTCTTCCATCACATTTTTCACAAATGAAGTATTTTTACTTTTCTCGTCATCTGGTTGAATTTGTCGAAACTTCTGAACAAGGCTTTGACGGTTACTTCTCAGGCGGTCGAAGCATCGCTGTTTTATCATAAAATTAATATAAATTTATCTTTACAGAGTACACTTTACAGAGCATGTTAATAACAGGGATTTTTTTAAACAAGGGAACAGGGGCCCTCATGCCATGGCCATGCACCCCCTTATCCTGGGGAGCAGATCCTCTGGCAACCATAAAATTCTGATTGACCAGGGATCACATGCGACAAAATGTATATTCGCTAGATTTTATTTTCACTGAGTCATCCCTTCAGCGAAAACAGCACAAATTAATTCCAAGTGACAATAAAGTATTTTACAGTAACTGGGAGTGAGTGTTAGGGTTAGGGGTACAAAAGGAACTCTTGCCAACATGATAAACTGCACTAGTGAGCCAGTTTATATACTGTAAACGACTTTAATTTCACAAATTTTGCGAGTCAGAGGGAACTGTCATATTTTGTAACAAGGAAAATTTCTCTACGGTTGACAAAACGAGTATAAGTGAATTTTACAAACTCTGGTTTTCATGAATGCAATAAAATCATTAACATTGACATCATTACTGCATTGCACTATGGGATATACATGTATAAGTATAGGAGGAGGGGGTTCTCTCTAAATCCGACACAGATCCGAGAGAACTAAATGACATTGCACATGCATATCTGGTTTGGGTATCACCTGTCCGTAAAACACAGAGAAAAAACAGGGTTCCCGACAGACACAGTTTATGTATGTCACGGCTGCATATTGATACTGAGACAACGTGTGCCACTAGTCAATTCTACAATGTTATGTTTACTTCTTATTAGAATGACATAATATACAGCGCGTCTTTTGTTCAATTGAAAACATTGTATCAGCTATAACACCCCGAACTCGTCTGCTATCGCGAAGTTGTTGTTCAAGTTGGGAGCCTGAGCCTGGCCGGGGAGCCTGAATTTGAAGTTTTCAAGGTTAGATTTTCGTTGATTTTTGGAACGCGTCGTTTACAAATGTAGATAATCGACACTCACCTTTCTGTATGTATCTTTCCAGGGTGGTGTTCTGCCTTTGTACAAGGCTTGGCGTTTCGAGAATTGAATAGGAGACTTACTGCTCAACGATGATGCCATGATGTTGGTTTTCAATGAATGACTCTAGAGAACAGCGCCAACTAGCGACGAAATACAATTTTCCTGGAATGTGCAAAGGATTCGGAAATATGAGACTTACTAGGGCTATACCACTAATTGAAACTCCATAGACGACAATGTTAACATATGAAGAGATTGCTATATGAAAATGATAAACAAAGTTGAAATCATGACTATAAAATGGGAAATCAACATGCCAGTAATCAACCACATGAAAAAAACGCACATGTTGGCCAGCTCAAACTCTTGAAAAACTCAGGTAATCAAGACACACCTACTATATTTGGATTTCACCTAGAGAAATCACTGGAAAAAAACATCAAGATTAGAACATCCAAATACACGCAGAATAAACCCACAGGTACACAGCCGTAGTAAAGTAGTAAACAAAAGACCACATGTTGTCCCACCTTTGACCCAGGTGGTGCACGCCCCCAAACAGAGCGCACCTGAGAAAAAAAAATATTGAAAAAAATTCATTGGTTCTTGCAAGGCATTTAAATTGACGAACGGTGATTGGTTGATTAATGGCTGGGATATTAGCTCATATTTTCTTACTTAGTGAGGGCGGAAAATACTAATTTACATAACTAACGTGTTCAATGCATTTATTTCATATTGCGTGTTCTCAAATGGCGATAAGTGGACTAATGTTTTAGATCGACGTGAGGTATGTGTGCTTGTTGAATGATGTCATTAATTATTTAAAGTGTATGTAAACGTGTAAATTAAGTCATCAAAAAACAAAAATATTATTTTCTTATTTTGGGGGTGATTTGGATGATTTTCATGTGTTCCGTGTATATAAAGATAGGATATCACGAATTGTACACAATGATATTTATTTATTTATTTATTTATTTATTTATTTATTTATTTATTTATTTATTTATTTATTTATTTATTTATTTATTTATTTATTTATTTATTTATTTATTTATTTATTTATTTATTTATTTATTTATTTATTTATTTATTTATTGTTTTGTATTTTTATGATTTATTATTACGTACATCTTATTTTGTATTATTTTAACTGTCTCCAAATACTATTACTTACCTAAACTTTTTAAACTAAACTAAACTAAAGCTATTATAAAATAAATTATAATAAAAGAAAATAAAAGAAAATACATGAGAAACAAATTTACTGCAATTGTTGAAATAATACTGCATAACAAAACAAAAAAAAACTGGGCCATTAGTCACAACGTACATGTATAATAATTAATAACACAGATTTATTCATGTTGCAATAAAATGTATTTCCTACGAAGCCTATGATTTGAGAAGGTGGTGGCGGCTTTTTTGTAAAATTAGAACATTTTAATTGGTTACTATGGTCACGGGTTGACATACTATGCTATATTGGAGTAACTCCAATATAGCATAGTATGCACGTAAGAACATGAATGTAAATAGAAAAGGTCACAACTTCGAGGTCAAAGCATGTGTCACATGATCTGTATTAACCAATAAGAACGCAACTTACGTATCTTACATTTTTCGAAACGCAATCTATTTACGTTGTGTTGTTGTGCGAACAACTGGAAAATACACACGTATTGTGCAGTTTGCAGCAACAGGAATTGTTTCAGATAAATATTATTCAACCTGTTTATTTTATGAGTGATACTGTACCACTGAACGCTGCAATTTCTACGAAATCCTCCGTTTATGTGCACGTCGCAAAAATGTGAAGTCGCCCAAAATGGCGACTCCCATGGACGTAAACAATTTTTATTGAATCGTGGTTATTTTGACAAATTTACGGACACAAACAACATATATTTGAAAATATATATTTAGACAATTGACAAAGATGTCTGATCCCGGGGTAAGTATTTAATTGTATTCTCATTTCCGCAATGTCTTGCTGTAAATCTGATAAATCAGACAACAATCTCGTCACTATGGTATTCGCGAGTCTGGCAACAGTTATATTTTTTTTAAATATTTACTCACTTCTTTTTCTTTTTGTCCAATTCAATTTTTTTTTATTTTTCACTCTATATGAGCTCTCTATTCTGGCCGCACCGCGGGTGGTTCGTAGGTTCATGTCGAGGGATTTGATAACTAGTATTAGAGTTGCGACATTTGTCAAATTCGCGATTTACTATATATATGCGAACATCAGTGTACATGGCAGCGTCTGATCTTCAATGTGTATGGCTAGGGTATGGGATGACACTGACAGCAGCATTAGTAACATTTTTTTTCTACGTTTCTACAGCAATCTTCCACAACAACTGAATCAGAGACCTTACCCACAGCAGTTATTGTTGTAGTTGCGATTGGTGCATACTTAGTATTGATGGTGCTATTACTCATCATCAGATCATGTTTACAGGTAAATGTTAAAATATTGATTTTCTTGGATCTTAACACCACTAGACTGAGTGTAAAACCTGAATACTAAAGCTGTTATAGATGTATAGTTTTCTTAATTTGGGGAGGGGGGACTGCATGTGTTAAGCAAATTATCATTTGGGATACAAAATATCATAATTTTGTATGTCACGCAATGTGTTCTGGTCTGATTTGTAATATAGGCCAATGGTTTTTGTAACGAATGTGCACCGTGTGGTAAAGAAGATGGAAGTCAGCAGTGCTGTGATTGCTGGGTAGCCACTGCCGAAGCATGTAATTGTTGTGCATATCCTAATATGAAAGCTTGTCTGGATTCCATTTGTGGACCAGCCAATAATGTAAGTGGACATTGTTTAATTCTCTCGAAGTTCTGTTGAAGAACTTAGATGTTCTCTTTTCACCCCAATGCTTTCACCAACCTGTCGTAATTCTGTTAGTATAAAACCCACTTAGTATCATGACATATACCGGTAGTTGTATATTCGATATCATTCTCAGAAATAATACATTCTATTGCTATATAGCAATTAAAAAAAATGTATAAACAAGAAAATCAGTATCTTGAATCGTTGTCTTGAACATTTGAATATGGTGACTAAAGACTTAAGTGAGACTAGTTAATACTGTGTTCTTTGCTTCGGCCTTCCTGTTTGGATTGATCCGTTCTGAGAAAGTTCTTAGACATTTGAAATATGTAGTGCAGATTAATCATAATTTGACATTACCATTCGCGCTCTTCAAAATATAACCGGATTGCAGACAAAATTCTGAGACCAGTATTTATCTTTAAACTTGTATCACATGGACAAACAGGGGATGTTAGATTAAAGTCAGCGTATGTACCTTAGTATAAATATAACAAAACAAATTAACTGATGATTGATTAAATACTAGTGTGGTGATCATGCACTTTCTTTTTGCAGAAATGTACTTTAGCAAATTGTGTGTCTTGCCAAGCTTGTCAAGATAATCAGTGCTGTGGTAATGAGCCAATGTGTGATGTAAGTATACATGCATGCATGAAAGCTATGGTATCTTTCAGTGTAGACTGTATTCATCAAAACACATACATATGTAACATAAAAACAAATCTAGCATTATTGTTATTCTGCAGTTACAATAGTTGAGTGAAAGACCACCAGTGTATTCACTCCATCTGTTACACAAGCCTTGGTTCCATGCAATCTAATGAGATTAGTCTTGTGTGTCATATGGCACATTCCTGTACAAGACAATAATCCTTATATTAATTGGACCATAAACAAATAATTATATTTGAAGGTCACTGAAATTTTTTATTATTTAAGCAATGGCTCAAGACACGTTTACAAACTGCAAAATTTGATCAAATCACAACATGAATATTGTACATGTGTGTAAACTTTCAACTTAATCAGGCAAAATAGTAGTGGGAAATGGACATGGACATAAACAAAAACAAAATTGCCACCAGTCGGCTAGTTTTGTTTGAATCTCAAAAACAAAAATTTTACCTGCGCCTGAGAAACATTTCCGGTCACATTTAAATATCAGAATTTAGCAAACTT